CACGGATTTTAGAGTATTTCAAATGATTTCGGGTTTCATTTCACCCAAAAGTATTGGATTCAATGATCGGAAACTAGTTATTAAATTGTGTAAAATATGCAACAATTCATTAAAAGCAATGAAACCATTAATTGTTGTGTTAATAATTTTAGGTAACACAATAGTTATAAATCTTCAATTAAAATCAAATATTGATAATTTAATGTTGTTGATTTCTACATTACTTTTACCTACAATACTAATTGCAATAGTTTTGGATTATGTAGTAAATATAGTGTCTTATCAATTATTTCATTATTTCTTTATTGTATATTATTTGTGTTGCAAAATTGACATAATTAACAAAGTAATTAGATGGGATCTGGATCATTTTAATGGCAAAACTAAACGGGTTTTACTGATACGAAAAATTATTGATGAATTAAACGCAATATATCTGGAAATTAGTGAATATAATGTTATTTATTGGTCCAAATATTTATGTATTATGTTTACCACCATGGGTGTACTTACAGTCTCAATGTTATATACATTATTATTTAGCTTTCTTAATATTTACATGCGATCCATAGTATTGTTGGCAGTTATATACGGGGTAACTTTAATATCGATATTAATTTATATGTCCTCACAAATATATTACAAGGCTAATTATACGTATATATTATTGAATCGACTGTACGTTAAAAAAGATAAATATTTAAATACGAGACAAAAACTTAAGGTTTGCTTTTTATCATATTTATTGTATTAAATTATTTTATTTTTATAGTTATTGTCAGTAATGGAGAGAATAGGTGTGAAAAGGATTGGCTTTTATTGTTGGAAACTATTTATTATAAACCAAATCAAGGGATACGAGGTTTGTAATACTATTCCTGATCATTTACTATATAACATAAATTTATATCTAATTTCTATTTTCAGATAATCTCATTGATAGCGATATTATTTATTAAGATCTGCCAGTAATACTACAGTACATGACTATAAACCATCTAAAATATTATTTATTACATAAATATCTTTTAAAATGTTATATCGTATAATATTTTGAATAAACACTGATATTTGAGTAAATGAATCAAATCAAATTGTATAAATCAAATAATTTATTTATAAAATTTTAAAATATATTTTTAAAATTAAATATGATTTTCGCAAATAATTAATTAAAAATATTGATGATCAAATCACTATATTGATTTGAACGGCACATTTTACTTGGATTAATAATCTATAATTATATCATTAATAATATTATGACATTATATTTCGTTTTAAATAAATTATAGTTTATAATGATTATGTTATCATTTCTAATAATATTTTGAATAAATGCATTAATAATAAAATATAAAATATCGTTGTCATTAAAATAAGTAGGTTTCAAATAAACCTAATAAAACTGAATAATAATTAACCCAAATATAAATGACCTTGTCTATTGAAATTATGCTTTTTGAATTAATCATTAATGATTTAGATTTATAAATATTTTGAAAATTCATAACAAACAGAGTAATTATTGCAAATAATTTATAATACCGGTAGATGTGAATAATTAATCAATATGACCATACTTGAATTATATCATTTTTTAAAAATAATAATTATATTGGAGGTTTCTGATATTTTTTCAAAATTAGTTTATTTGAACTTATAATAAAATACAAATACTAAACAGATAATACAGATAATAATATTGATTTTAGTGAACCCATACCTGAATTGGTGGTAATGGTGCTGACAGTCATCTTCACTCAATTGGTTTATCACTATTTCAATTGCAATCTAATTATAAGACAATTATAGCCATTATCCCATGTTTTATGAAACATTTAAAACAATTAAAGTTCAATTAGTTAATTATTATCTCTTTAATATGAGCATTGTACAATTATTGTTATTAATATTAAAAGTTATATTTTCTAGCTTAAAATTATCCACCTAATTTATTATTAACTTTTTAAATACTAAATATAAAGTAGTATAAATATATTAAACTTAAAAATAATTTTATTATCCGTAATAGTAATGCCAAATATATATTTCATTTATTGTAAATCATTATTTTCAAGGAATTCATAATATTCAATTACTATAATTAAAACAATATTTAGAATAAATTGAAATTTAAATGTATTAATTGTTACCACAATTAACATAAATTAAAATAATAAGTGATCCAAAAGTCATCGCAATCGCCAGCAAATGGATTATCCAATACTCGACTCGTATTCGTTGGATTCAAGTCTTTAATATTGATTAAACTCTTATCAAATATTTGTGGCCATTGGGCGTCCGGTTTACTATAGAATAATAATGTAACAATTTAATATAATTAGCTAGGCAATTATGAAATATTGTAAATATGCTCAATATTAACCCGTATTTAGCGAAATCAGTCCACAGTTTCATGACATATAAACTGAAATCCACGTCCAGTTGGGTATGAGTTTTGGGATAGATTTTGTCGACCCATAGGGGAAGTCCAAAAACAAACTCCAGTTCCGATCCGTGACAGATGCCCATAGTCTTCTCATCGCAACCCATGATTTTAGCGAATTTTGACTCATATGTCAGTTCATACATATAAACCCCGTTTTTTGAACTACTTTTTGCCGCATAATTTTTGGCCGTCAGATATGTCGGACATTTGACGTGAATGTCGCCGAAAAACGCGTAAAACGCTTGCCTTAACTCATCCGATGAGTGATTTTTGTTGACTTCTTTGAGATAAAATTGTCTGACTTGTTGCAACTCTAATCCGTGGTATGAAGTGTTTGTTTTGATGACCATATCATCGAAATCCTTATCAGTGATATTGTGGTGTAGTTGCGGAAAGCCTCCTAAGGCTAGTGCTGAGCCCTCGTTTCTATTGACCCCGGCCATTATGTCTAAGTCTATGACATAGTATTAAATAAATAAATATATAAATAATAATGATTTTTAATACACATTATTAATTAATAGTAATTACTAGTAATACTAGAAATCATTTACACTTAGTCGATATTAATTTAACTATTAAATTAATATACTGTATGCAGGGTACAATCTAGAAGTCATGTGAAATTGATAAGATATGGACAATATTTAAAATAATAATAATATTTGTTCAGTAAGTCATCTGATTATTATCTTATAAATAATCCCTAAACACATGATAATATAGATTTTACATTCATTTTGACTATCATTTGTCAAAATATTATATTAAATTTATTTATAAAGATTTTCTTTTGAATACCAATTTCTTATTCAGTATATAGATTTAAGATTTTCATCAAGTAATTTAATTTGTGATTTAATAATAAGATGCATTAATTATTGAGTAAAGTTTTGATTAAAATGAAGTGTAAATTAGAAAAATTGTGTGAATTTCTGGATTTGTTTCAAAGTTTAGATAAAATGCAGTGTTTTTTATCACAAAATGCAAGTGTTTTGTGTGAAGGGATTGAATGCGAAAATGCNGAATTAGATTGGATTTCTCAGCAAATAATTTGCCACAATTTTCTTCATTACATTTAAATTTCTTTTCATTCAAATGAACACTACTTTTGTGTCGAAGTAATCCTTGTTTTGTTGTAAACTGTTTGTAACATTCACTCCAATCACAACACCATTAATACACTCAACACTTATCACTGTTTTTGGCCTAAATGTCACTTCAATACACAATTGAAGGGAAGTTTAATTACACATCAATTATATCATTCAGATATCAAACAATTTAAATGTGATTTTAATAATTGTGATAAAGTTTTTAAAAGTGTTGCAAGTATATCAACACATAAATACAGTAAACATTTAAACATGAGATATGTATGCGATTGGAGTGAATGTTACAAACAGTTTACAACAAAACAAGGATTACTTCGACACAAAAGTAGTGTTCATTTGAATGAAAAGAAATTTAAATGTAATGAAGAAAATTGTGGCAAATTATTTGCTGAGAAATCCAATCTAATTCAACATAAAAGTTATCATTTAGACATAAAACCATTTGTTTGTGATTTTAGTAATTGTAATCAATGCTATCGAACCAAACAAATGTTAACTGACCACAAGAATATCATTCATTTAAATAAGCGATTTGTATGCGATTGGAGTGAATGTCACAAACAGTTTATACGGAAACATCATTTACTTCAACACAAAACTGCTGTTCATTTAAATGAAAGGAAATTCAAATGTAATGAAGAATATTGTGGCAAAAGATTCACTCGAGAATCACATCTTAATCGACACAAACGAATACATTTAGACACAAAATGAATTGTTTTTTACTTTACTTTTAAATTTTCTTAATCGGTATCATTACTTAAATTATTATATGAGTTATGCAATATGATTTCTATTTTCTATCAATAAAGTGATTAAAATATCAAACCTTTGTTATACTTGGCTTCTTGGAAAGCCTGTTGTATAGAAATTGGCAAAAAGTCCGTTCCCTCCAATGGGAAAGTAAACTGCTGTTGAAATTTACTGAAGTCTTTGGGATCTCTTTTGCGCAAACAGTCCAACATTTCATTGCTTTCATAATCTTCGCTACAATTCAGAGCTTTAGCTATAGTTTGCGATTCAACCAAAGCCTCATCAGTTGTGTGTTGTTGTCGTCCCTTATAATGCAAATTAGCGCCGCTTTCCATAATAACCCGACGGAACAGACCCTTAGTTTCCGGCGATACTATCAGTGCTGATATGGACCGACTACCGGCGCTCTCACCAAATACTGTGATCTGATCCCTGTCCCCACCAAATGAGTGGATATTTTCTCTAATCTTAATTTTGATCATTTTATAAATTAATAAACTAATAACTAGTATAAAATTTAATACCCATTTCAAAGCCATCACTTGATCATAGAGACCCACATTTCCCGGTGCTGTCGACCCGTTACCGCCGTATAGAAAGCCTAACTTTCCGAGCCTATAGTTAGCCGATACATACACCACATCATGTGCGGCCAAATAGGACCCGTTGGACATTGTATTAAAAATAGTGCCCCCATTGAGACCCCCGCCGTACAACCAAAACATGACAGGTTTTAGCGGTTTGTCCACATTTGGTGTCAATATGTTTAGTACCAAACAGTCCTCACTTTGCTTTAGTGATGAACTATAAGGCGATTGATAGCATGAATTACCAGACTTTGTGCCATCGATTATAT